TTCTTCCTCTGCTGGTCGCCCTACCACGTGGCCATCTTCCTGGACACCCTGTCCCGGCTGCGGGCCGTGGGCGGCAGCTGCGCGCTGCGCGGCTACCTGTCCGTGGCCATCACCGTGGGCGAGTTCCTGGGCCTGGCCCACTGCTGCCTCAACCCCGTGCTCTACCGGGTGCTGGCCAAGCTGGGCTGCGCGGGGCCCGCCACCCTCTGCCAGTTCCTCCCCGCCTGGCGCAAGAGCAGCCTCTCCGAGTCGGAGAACGCCACCTCCCTCACCACCTTCTAGGTCCCAGCCCCCCTTCTGCTTTGACTTTCTTGAGGGGCACCCTGACTCTGGGAATTTCGCAGGAATGGGTGTTTGAGGCAGCTCTGCCTCTGTATCTATTATTGTTCAAAAGTTTATAATGGTCTCAATTATCCATGAATAAGTGAGATCATGTGGTATTTTTTCCCCCCCGCCCCCCCGGGGCTGGGCTGGGTCCAGGGAGGGAAAGCAGCTCCACGGCCCAAAAGGGCTGTGCCACCTGAGTCACCTGGGCTGAGAGGGCCCCGCCCGCCTTCCTCATCTGAACCACCCAAAACTCGAGAAACAAGTTTACTCTGTCTTCACCAAAGTGGAAAGCCACCAAGCCCCAGAATGCACGTCTCACAGGCCACCGGCCCGCGGCTCCACGGCTCGGGCGCCTCCCGCCCGCCCCGAAGGCAACGCTGAGCTGCGGGGTGGAGGTGGAGGCTGAGGAGAGGCAGTTGCCAAGATGGCGGCATAGGTAAACACCGGAAATTGGTGCCTAGCACAACCACTCGCCCCCGCAGGAAGCTCAGACCGATTCAACCCCGGCAGCTGTCCCCGGCTCCGACCACACTGTCCCTGGGCCAGCTCCGTGTCCCTGGGCCCCGGGAGGACCGGCGCATGCACCTCGGAGCAGCCAGTGTCCCAGGGAACTCAGGCCGAGCCAGCAGAAAGGAGCAGTGGGGCGGGGGCAGGAGGTCTCCTGCCCCCACCGCAAGGAGGGACGTTCTACACCAAAGCCGCCCCCTCCTCTGCCCAGGGGTGGGCCTGGGCACTGAGGCAGGAGGCAGGCGGTGGTTCCCTGCCCTCCAGGATGTGCCTCAGCCAGGAGGGTCCCCGCCACAGCAGGAAGGTCAGGACAATGTGCAGACCTGAGGGGAAAGCCAGAGAGAAGCCTCTGGAGCCAACTCCCCAGCCCGCGGAGGCCAGGCCGGCACAGGCCCCAGGCAACGGCCCTGCCCTGGAGGCTGCTCCTCAGAGGGAAGGAAGTGGCTCGCCCACCGGTCCACCTGCCCCCCTGCCCCCAGGCTTCGGTCCGCCTGGAGTGGGAGAGCCAGGCCCCTGCTCCTGCCAGGGCGCATCTGAGCTGCCCACTCCCACGCAGGCCAATCGGCCACATTCCCGACGAGGCCCCCATGAGGGGACTCAGAGCTTTTGTCTCCCGGCACCCAACAGCAAGCTGGTCAGCGGAGCCAGACATGGAAGCAAAGAGGCAAGAGATCAGATTTTGCATTTTCTTTTTAATAAAAAGGCACCTATAAAACAGGTCAATACAGTACAGGCAGCACAGAGACCCCCGGAACAAGCCTAAAAATTGTTTCAAAATAAAAACCCAAAGGATGTCTTCACATATTGTATTTATATATTTATATTTATATATATTTATATAATGGTACAAAATGGCTGGGGATGGCCTTGGATGGAGGAGGCTGGCCTGTGGAGTTCGCCTGGAAAAGCTACTCTGACAGCAGGTGGGAAGAGGAGTGTCAGGCCTTGCAGTCTGGCCCTCCCCTCTGGGCAGGCTACACGGAGTCAGTTGGAGAGTTTGGGGTGGGGGTGGGGGCTCAGGGAGACAGGCCCAGTGCAGGCAGCGCAGGCAGCGCGCCTGGCTGGATGGTGGCAGTGGCTCCTGGACACAGAGGCCTGGGTCCTGGGCCCGGGAGGCAGGAGCCTGCCGCCCCCCGAGGAAAAGCTCTGGGTCCGGCTGACAGTGGACTGAGCACAGCACCAGACGGAGAAGTTAGGGAGTCCCTTTGTGTGACAGCTGCCGAGGTGGGGCCAGGCCCTGCAGGTCGGGCTGAGCAGAGGCCCTGGCAGAGGACACCTTGTCTAGACATGGCCCTGGAGGCCCAGGGAGCGTCCTGCCCCACAGCAGGAAGGGAAGCGAGAGAAGG